AAACTGTAGTCTCCAGCAAACATGTAAATAACACTCCCAATCACAACTGTTGTTGGCCGGCTCACACGTACTTTTGTCCGGTTTTGGGAAGCATCCTGAGCTCGTGTTAGGAAAGTGAAATTCCCTTGTTCAAACTGAAATTCCTCCAGTACTTGTGTCTTCAGTTTAGTTGTATCCAATTCTCTTGATTCTTTATCGGTCCACTCCAGGAGCTCCGAGGCAATCCCAGTAAAACCGCTCTTACTGGCTTCCGTGCACTGCGCCTCGGCAACGGCAAACACATCACCATTCATCTCAACAAGAACTGGAACACGTAAAGAACTCACTGTTTCTCCTCCTTTCTTATCTCTCCAAATAAAATATTTCTCCGGTGAAGTTCCCTCAACTGACGTTGGTTTCTCAGTGGCTGTAGCTCCACCACTGCCGCAGCACATCATCACGACGAGGAGGAGCAGCACCGCGGAAGTAAACACACGCCGGGACATGTTGGGCCTCTGCGGCTCACTCTCTCTTCCTTCCCTCCTCCTTCCGCTGGATCCGGTCACGCGGCGACGGTTGTGTGTGCGGGGTGCCTTCACTGCAGCAACACCTGAGTGCATATAAATATGTGTGTGGACTGTGTGTGCGTGTGCTGTTGGTCCTTTCAGAGCCTTCGAATTTCACAGTAGCGTTTAGCGCTTGTTTGCTTTCTTCGTAAGAGAGTGAAAAAAAATGAAGAAAAACAGGCTAATAAAATATGGGTGAAAGAATAAGCACCGCCATCCACAGTGAGTGGCACCATCATCCCCGCCGCAGTCACTCCCCACAACAACAACTCACGCACACAGACACACGGAACGAGAAGGGAGAACAGTGCACCGGGAAGACACAGCGATGGTCACCACCAATAGCAGGAGGTGCCACGGCGGGTGTGTCGTTATTCACGCGTCAGCACGCACCGAGCGACGCCCACACAACAAACAACCAGCGGGATGCAAAAGAGCACAACCGCCCTTCTCAGCACCGACGCGCTGCCGCCCGTCCTTTTACTGTTCACCCTTCCAGCGCTCCCGCTTCTCAACCGCCACAGGCGCACATCACCCGCACAGGCGGAAAATCCCCCGTCGGCAAATCCACAGCGTGAAAGAAACTTCGGCACATGCAACTGCTGGGCGGGAATCAATCCAAACTCGCAAAAGGCACACCCAACAACACTCGTTGACTGCACGCCGCAAACATCACACCCGCAACGCGTCGAGGAAACAAATAGCAGCCTTCTGTCATGCCTCCTCGCAATTGCCACCGCAATCAAAAACTTGTGTGTACGTGCGTTCTCGGCGTTCACACCGCTCCACAGCGTGAGCCACACGGCGTATTTTTGCTTGTCAGCGCCTATATTTTCAGCGCAAATGTGCGGCACAAAAAAGACAAAAGGAAGAAACGGCAGAGAAAAAAGCAAATAGCACACACGAAAAATACTTATATCATCACACACACAGCCAGCAGAATGGGTGCTCTCAACCACAAAACAATGAAAAACAATAAAGCAAGAAGCCGAAGCGTGGGACGACCAGCGCACACACTCTCATTGCTCCCGTAAAGCAACACACACACAGGGAGAGAGAGAGAGAGAGGTCGCCCACTCAATGCAATAAAAACAAAACAGAAACAGTTACGGTGCTCCGCCCATGCAGCCAGGCAGGACGGCAGCGGTGCGTGTGGTGCAAAAGAGAGCGCCAACGGGCCTGCATGGGTGTGCATGCATATATACAATGGGCACATTATGTGTGTGCTTCGTGGGGTGAAGTGAGGGCGAGAGTCCATGCAAGGGAACACACACACACACAGGGAGAGTGAGAGAGAGACGGACGAGTGTGTGTGCGGGCGGTGCACGGCTCTCTCACCCTCACTCTCACGCGGACACCACCGCAGCAGCAGCCGCACACGCAACAACAAGAAGCAAAAGAGGGGAGGTGGTGTGGGGGATCGCGGTGCTGCTGTCACTGTTCTGTGTACTCGTGGTGTGATTTGTAACAACGATGTTTTTGTTTTTCATGTTCTCTCCTTCATTATCCGCGGTATGTTCATTTTGGTGGTCTTCTTCTGTTACTACCGTTTCAGAGGATTCCGTATCGTTGTGAACTGTCGCTGTATTCTTATCTGCAGAATGATTGGCAACAGCAGCAGCATCTCCAGGAGCGGATGACAATGTTGGATCGTTATTACCATTTGATTTACTGTGCGTGGCAGCTGAAGGAGCTTCTTTTCGCAATTGTTCTTTTAAATCAGTGGTTACTTCCTTCGGTGGCAATTCCTGTTGCTTTGCAACTGGCGGTGGTGTACTTTCCTTTTCCACCGGCCCTGTGGATGAAGCAGAGAGTGTCTCTTGTTGCACTTGCAGAAGTTGTTCTTGTTGCTGTTGTGTTTGAATTTTTTGTTGTTTTCCTTCGTTTGTCTTGTTTCTTTTGCCATCTTCATTTTCAACGTCAGTGCCTTTTCCTTTTCCAACCGCAATGTTTCCTGTAGTTATGGGTGGTGTTTCGTTTGTAATGTTTGGTGTTAATGGCGTTGGAACTGGTGGGTCACTGGTGGGAGGAGGCAATTTTGATGAGTCTTTTCTCTCCGGGTCGTTCGTTGATTCTCCTACACGACGTATTGGATTGTTGCGTGCAGGGTTTTCTTGTTGTTCGTTTGCTACATGTTCAGGAGGCGGATTTACTCCGTTTTCGTTGTGCGGTTTTGGTGATAATTCATCACGTTTTTTTGTTAATTCTTCTTCTTTTGCACTTAAACTTTCGGATGGCGTTTGTACGCCCGAATTCACTTGCGGGCCAGCATCCATTCCTTTTTGTTTTTCCAACCTTTGCTTCGCTTCTTCGGGGCCTCCATCGATCGACTCTGATGATGCCCGCTGACTTTCTTCACCGAGTTGAGATACAGACCGTTGATCCAGCAATTCTTTTTGTTTTACGTCGTCACATCTACCGCCAGAAGTACCGCACCACAGCACGCAGAGGGCACACACCAGCAGCACACGGCCAGTCATCATCATCGCCATCACTCCTGTCACTTGCGTGTAGCCTTCAGCACAAACTAACTCCCCGTCAACGCAGAGCAGAAGTAAGGAGAGACAATTCACACAGTCACGCCACAGCAACAAATGTCAGCACCCCAGCAGCGGCAGCAGCACACAACATGAGGCAGTTGAAAACAGTGAAAGGGCAAAAACACACAAAACGCCCCGCAGCAATTAATAATCAGCAAAAAAAAATAAAAACAAAACACAGGTAAACAAACAGCAATAAAGTAAAAAATGTAAAAACACACAAAAAACAAAGGGCTGCACGGTATGGCTCCAGTGTGCATGCATTCACACACGGACATGCGTCCATGCAAGCAGTTGTGTGCGTGTAGTACATACGAGTGTGTCTGGGATGCGTTCAACGTGACGGATGCGGGGAGCGGCAAGGAGCACACAGCAGGGCAGCAGAAGCAAATGAAGCAAAACACACAATCATTATTTTCTCTCATTTATTTACATCGGACCACAGTAGATGCGCACAATTCCCCGCGGTTGAGTGCTGGCACGCACAGCCCGCATTCACCTCTTTAGCCCAGAGTGCTGTACGCCAGCGCGGATACGACGAGCAGCAGCGGGGCACACACCCACGCAGAGCTGCTGAGGCTGCCGTCGATTTCGCGAAGACGTGACGGTGCGCGGGTGGTCGTCGTAGTTGGCGCCTCTGTAGTCGTGGTAGTACTTGGTGCCTGTGTTGTAGTGGTGGTCGTTGTAGTCGTGGTGGTCGTAGCTGGCGCAGTGATCCTTTTTGCTGAATTTTTTTCCAGTTCGTTTGGAGGAGTTGGTGACATTCCCGTAGTGGCCGTACTTGGCGCTGTAACGGTCCTCGAATCCGGTGACTCTGCGTCTTCGGGCTGTATTTGTAACACTCCGGCTCCGGTCACTGCATCTGTTTCCTGTGTCCTGCCGGCTTCCGGATCTGTGAACTCTTTCGTACCGGACGTAGCACTTTCTCTCGTTGGCCCTGAACTCACTTGCGCAACGTCATCCGGATTTGGACTCTCTGGCGGAGCGGCCGTCTCTTTCGATCCCGATAACGTAACGGCCATACCTTTTGGACCAGGATTAGCCGGCCCGTTAACTGTTGGGTGCAACGTGCGGGGCTTACCACTTTCATCTGGATCGGAATGTCCTCCAGAATTATTAGCTTTATCATCAACATCTGCTGTCACGCACAAAGATAGGCGGCAGCACAGGGCGAGCACCAACAGGGCGCACAGCAGACGGCACGTCATCATCGTGAGTGTGGTCGTTCAGTGGTGTGGAGCTGATCTGCACAGTGAGGGACATGGAGAGCAACAGGGGAAACGAGAGGTGCGGCAGACACACACAGAGGGCACACCACATGAGGAGAGAGAGGGCAGCAGCCAGGCATGCACCGCACGCCGCACACCACGCACGACACACACTCCAATCCACGGCAACAGGCACACACACACACACACACACACACACACACACACACACACACAAACCTGCATTCTGTAATACTTATATTGTACAATTGTTGTGGTCAGTGCATGCGGTCACACACAAAATGAGTGAGAAAAGAGGAGACCACTACGTCTAAACATCAGACTGTAGACTACCAGAGGGACGAAAAAGACAAGAGGGCCGCGCCGCGTCGGCAATCGGTGCGTCACTTGCTTGCAGACCAGGCGTCCTGCGCGATTGTTGTCGCTCATTGTGACGCATACGTCCTCGTAGCCCCAGAGGGTGGAACAGCCAACGCCAACCCAAACACCGCTGTCAACACGCCATCGCCACAATCGTGAAGAGCCGGCTGGCACCACACACGGCAAGAAGGACACACCAAGACACGCCATGCACCAAAGGGGCGCATCAAGCCCGCAAACAGTGCGCACTGCTCCAACACCGCAGGGCCCTCACGCACGCAGCAGCATCCTCCTCCTTCCTTCCTTCTCTTCGGCTCATTGCCGCCACATCCGACACCTGCACCTCACAATAGCAGAGGGAAACACAAAACAGCTGAAGCAGCAACAGCAACAAAACTGCCACCTTGTTGCGCTGAGGCCACTGCACGAAAGGGTGCGCCGAAGACGGGAGTCCATCGCGCAGGAGACGGAAAAGAGCCCAACGAGACACCCAAGAGCCACACGTTGGCAGTCTTGTCGGGGCTGCCTCAACGCAACCACAACAAATAGTGCCGCAACCACGGAGCCATGCACCCTGACCCACAGCGTGTTCTCACAATCAGAACAGCAGGGACAGAAGGAAGTAAGACACACTACCCACAGTGCAGCAGAGCACCCGAAACACACACGGCCAATCAAAAACGGATGCAAAAACTCGGGAAGGCAAAAAAATAAAAAGGACGCATACAGATTAAAAGCCGAAGCACAGAAATTATTTGAGGTCCACATTCTCGCAATGACGCACAAAAAAAAATCAAAGTCACAAAACCAAGCAAAACTGTAAAAGATAAAGCCGCATGCACCAATTACGGAGGCAGAGGCAGTCGTCCCTGTCCTTCAGAGAAACAGCTACCGGCACGACCCCGCCTCCATTGGAGCGCATTTCCTTTACTTTTTACTCACGATTAGAGTACGGTGGTTTCCCCTCGTCCCAATCGCATCAAAAAACGCGTGTATACATGTGGTGCTGGAAACTGTCTTTTCTTTCCATGTTACTTCGTTCACACACAGTTTTCACGAAAGTTAAACCCTCTAAGCAATAAAACAAAAACACCTTTTCCCAGAATAAAAAACAATGCAATAAAAGACCGGTCATTTTGCCCATCACCCACAAGCAAAGAAGGAAACGGGGAATGCAGTGAGTGTATCATAGTGTTATTGCTACGGTTTTGCACATCTTGAGTGCGGGGCCAATGTGCCAAGTAAATACTCTCGCCCTGCCGCAGTTTGATTGCGCCCAGCCGCCGCGGCTGCTCAAAGAGGCACCAGCACTACCGCCGCAGCGACCACAACAAGAAGCACAAAGGGAATGAGGCCAGCGGTAGCAGCGGCCACACCGCCATCACTGTCGGCCTGCTGTACCAACGCATCGGGTATCGCCTGAAAATCGTCGCTGCTGACGGACGGAATCGGAGTTGCAGGCACGGAGGCACTGGGAATCACCGCTGGGCAATCCGCCCGCGGGTCGCCCTCCGCTCGTGCAACGTCCTCGCCGGGTGATGGCGCAAAAAAAAAAAAGGCGTCGGGGCCGGAGGCTCTGTTGGCTCCCTCGCTTCCACTGCCAGGTCTCCTCCCTCGCCGCTGAGTGTTGTCCCCACTTTCGGTCCGCACCCCCGGATCACACCTCGGACCGGCATGAAGGCCACCACCAACGACACACGCAGCCAAAGCACCGGGAGGCTCCTTTTCAATGGAGGCACCAGACGCCACAGGAGACAACTGTGGACGAGTATTCTCCGGAGAAGGCGACCCTGAAGCAACCGCACACTCTTCTGCTTCCTTCTCTTGCTCGTCAGCCTGTCCATCCACCAACGCGCTCGGGATGACAAGACTGCTGCCGTTCGCGGCAATGGTGCACACCTCGCCGTAATTGGGGCACTTGATCTTCCCATCTTTCTTAAAATATTTCAACGTCACTGGGATTTCAGTGTCCTCAGGGCAAGGCTGAAAAACACTGCTGCCGAGGTGCCTCTCCTTCACTGTGCCCTCCTCACACGACACCTGCGCGCACACTCCCTTGACGCTTTTATGGCCATCACCATCCTTCGTCTCCAGTAATTCCGCGTCCAGGCACCACGAGCCACCGCCAGTCAGCGACCCACGGAGATAATCCACATTTTCGTCCGAGCACGTCCTGTACGTTGTCCCAGACGATATTTCGTGAAATTCGGAAGATACGACAGGGCAGACGTCCTTATCCACCAGACTCCCCTTGTCCTCAACGATGCTTGCGGTGCACGTCCCAACGTGACGGCGGTCGGAGGTGCAGCGAAGCGTCTCTGTGTCTTTAGCATCGCAAAATATGTGAGGATACTTGGCGGCAATATTATCGGTTGTATTGCACTTGTTGACCAGGAAGTCGCAGCCACTGCGGCTGCCCCAGCTCATCGGCTCCGCCATGCTCCAATTCACACGGTAGTATCCCATATCAGCAAAAGCCGCCATCGTCAGAGCCGTGTAGTAGCCGGCGCCGACTGCGGGGGCCATCAGCTCGTCCCGCGCGTGGCGTCCCTTCCAGTGAAGAATCGCTTTTTCCCGAGGGCCATCTTCGTCCTCCAGCACCATGCCCTCGAGAGACTTACAACCAAAGTGCGCTTTCGCCTTCTCCTGAACGTGCTTCCCTGCCACCATCCTGCGGTGCGTCCCACGCACACTTCTCTCTCGCTTCTTCACCAGGCTCTTTTCTCTCATGCTCTCCTGGCTGAACCCAAGTGCATGCGCAATTTCGTGTGCGGCAACGCGAACGCTCCACGCCGTGTCAGTCATGTACTTCGGGTCAAAGTCCATGGCGCCAATGGAAGGACAAAGATCCGTCAGTGTGTTACACGCGGCCGCCCACACAGCCCTGCCATCCGTGCCTGATGGCCCAGCAGCAGCGTAGATGATAAAACCTCCATTCGACACACCGTCGCTCTTGTGCCTGGTAGGAACCGTGAAATGGCTGCACGGTCCATTCATAGCCCTCGGTAAAGTTATCGTCCCACCAGTGGGTTTCACAAGGAGTCGCTCAGCGTGCAGTTTGACGGCACCGAAGAGAATTCTTCCAGTGTACAATTGTGTCTTTGCCTCCGTCAGGAAATGCTCTGCTTTGCATGATAACTTGTGCCCCAAGGCGTTGTAGCACTCATCCTCTCCCTCTTCGCAGTACTTCCTCTTGTTCATGCCTCTCTCCAGATCCTCCATGGAAACCGCAATGCGGATCGGCTCCCAGCCACTGTCGTCATCCTTTGCGGCGACGGTGTACGCCTGCATCGCGCCCTGTCCCTTGCGCGGCACCTCACGCACCACCGCAGTCAACAGCGGGCCGTTCCTCCTCATCATCACGTCAAACCCACGGCGTTATTGTGTGGCGGGTGCATCAGCAATACACCCACTGGCGCAGCACATCAGCAGCAACACCACCAGTGGGAAAGGCGGTGTGGCGTGGCGTGGCTGGCGCATGACTTGAGTAAAATGCATTTCTTGGTTTCGTGTGAGTAGCAGCAGCAGCGCAGCCTGGATGCGGGAAGAGAGAAACAAAAGAAAAAGAAGAGTAAGAAAAACAAAATGGCTTTGGACCAGTAATGCGTCAGAATGCGGCCCACGCAGCGGAGCAACAGGAGACCACAGAGGCGGCCATACACACAGCATGCGCACCGACTCCACCAAATGGACAATCTGTCAATCCGTCCTCAAGAGAACGCCCATCACCGTCGCACAGAGTCCTCACCAGACGCACCGCTCCCTCCACGCGGAGTGTTTGGTCTGCTCTCCTCGTGGTGTCGCAATATTTGTGTGACCGGCCACTCAACATCCGCCAACGGCACAGCACCAGTCACAGGTGCAGGAGCATCGCACAGCGCGCTCTCCCAGCAGATCATACCCTGTTGCGTAACCGCACGGCAACCCCGATTGTGATGCGCAGCCCTGAGGCGGAGATGCAAAGAGTCATGCGGACGGACCTTCTTTCACTGCTCTCCTTTCGGGGAACTCGACAACAAGCGTGCCGGCGGTGCGATCATTATGACAGTTCCATCCGCACTGCCACTGGCCGAGGAAGTTACTGTGAGCTCACTGCGTAGAGGTCACCGTGTCCGCCGTTGCTCTCCCGCCACCCCACAACCCCGCCGGCACTTCCAACAGAGCGGATCGGAGCGTCGCCAAAGGCAGCCACAGGCGCCAACACGCCGAGTCCAATGGAGCCCGCTGCGACATTCAAAAGCGCGCCGAGAGCTTCTCTATCTGTGCAGGGGCAGCCCACGTGTGTGCGACACGGCTTATGTGCATTTGCCTGTGTGTTTGTCAGCGCCTATACATGCAGAGCAGCTGTGCGGCACAAGAGAGTCCAAATAAAGCAACGGCAGAGAAAAGGAGATAGCACACACGCAAATGACTCATATCATTACCCACACGCAGCTTGCGGAATGGGTGCTCTCAACCACAACACAAGCAGAGATTCAAAACAAAACAAAAAGCCGAAGCGTTGGACGACCAGCGCACACACTCCCATTGCTCCCGTAAAGCAAAACACACACACAGGGAGAGAGAGAGAGAGAGGTCGCCCACTCAATGCAATGGAAACAAAACAGAAACAGTTACGGTGC